TTTGAGGGCGGGCAAACGGCAGTCTGGAATCCCCTGAAAAACAGATGGCAGGGGCATGTAGCTGTAAGAGTTGTTGCCTTGGAGGCTTGCGGAGGGGTTTGGAGCGTTTGAGGCCGGGCAAACGGCAGTCTTGAACCCCCTGAAAAACAGATGGCAGGGGCATGTAGCTGTAAGAGTTGTTGCCTTGGAGGCCTGCGGAGAGGTTTGGAGCGTTTGAAGCCGGGCAAACAGCAGTCTTGAACCCCTTGAAAAACAGATGGCAGGGGCATGTAGCTGTAAGAGTTGTTGCCTTGGAGGCCTGCGGAGGGGTTTGGAGCGTTTGAGGGCGGGCAAACGGCAGTCTTGAACCCCCTGAAAAAGCTGTATAATATAAGAGTTGTTGCCTTGGAGGCCTGCAGAAGTGTTTGGAGCGTTTGAGGCCGGGCAAACGGCAGTCTTGAGCCCCTTGAAAAACAGATGGCAGGGGCATGTAGCTGTAAGAGTTGTTGCCTTGGAGGCCTGCGGAGGGGTTTGGAGCGTTTGAGGCCGGGCAAACGGCAGTCTTGAACCCCCTGAAAAACAGATGGCAGGGGCATGTAGCTGCAAGAGTTGTTGCCTTGGAGGCCTGCGGAGGGGTTTGGAGCGTTTGAGGGCGGGCGGTAGTTTTGAACCCCCTGAAAAACAGATGGCAGGGGCATGTAGCTGTAAGAGTTGTTGCCTTGGAGGCTTGCGGAGGGGTTTGGAGCGTTTGAGGCCGGGCAAACGGCAGTCTTGAACCCCCTGAAAAACAGATGGCAGGGGCATGTAGCTGCAAGAGTTGTTGCCTTGGAGGCCTGCGGAGGGGTTTGGAGCGTTTGAAGCCGGGCAAACGGCAGTCTTGAACCCCCTGAAAAACAGATGCCAGGGGCATGTAGCTGTAAGAGTTGTTGCCTTGGAGGCCTGCGGAGAGGTTTGGAGCCTTTGAAGCTGGGCAAGCGGCAGTCTTGAACCCCCTGAAAAAAAAGAAAGGCAGGGGCATGTAGCTGTATAAGAGTTGTTGCCTTGGAGGCCTGCGGAGGGGTTTGGAGCGTTTGAGGGCGGGCAAACGGCAGTCTTCAACCCCCTGAAAAACAGATGGCAGGGGCATGTAGCTGTATAAGAGTTGTTGCCTTGGAGGCCTGCGGAAGGGTTTGGAGCGTTTGATGCCGGGCAAACGGCAGTCTTGAACCCCCGGAAAAACAGATGGCAGGGGCATGTAGCCCTTTAAAAACAGATGGCAGGGGCATGTAGCTGTAAGAGTTGTTGCCTTGGAGGCCTGCGGAGGGGTTTGGAGCGTTTGAGGGCGGACAAACGGCAGTCTTGAACCTCCTGAAAAACAGATGGCAGGGGCATGTAGCTGTATAAGAGTTGTTGCCTTGGAGGCCTGCGGAGGGGTTTGGAGCGTTTGAGGACGGGCAAACGGCAGTCTTGAACCCCCTGAAAAACAGATGGCAGGGGCATGTAGCTGTAAGAGTTGTTGCCTTGGAGGCCTGCGGAGGGGTTTGGAGCGTTTGAGGCCGGGCAAACGGCACCTGAAAAATAGATGGCAGGGGCATGTAGCTGTAAGAGTTGTTGCCTTGGAGGCCTGCGGAAGGGTTTGGAGCGTTTGAGGCCGGGCAAACGGCAGTCTTGAACCCCCTGAAAAACAGATGGCAGGGGCATGTAGCTGTAAGAGTTGTTGCCTTGGAGGCTTGCGGAGGGGTTTGGAGCGTTTGAGGCCGGGCAAACGGCAGTCTTGAACCCCCTGAAAAACAGATGGCAGGGGCATGTAGCTGTAAGAGTTGTTGCCTTGGAGGCCTGCGGAGGGGTTTGGAGCGTTTGAGGGCGAGCAAACGGCAGTCTTGAACCTCCTGAAAAACAGATGGCAGGGGCATGTAGCTGTAAGAGTTGTTGCCTTGGAGGCCTGCGGAGAGGTTTGGAGCGTTTGAGGACGGGCAAACGGCAGTCTTGAACCCCCTGAAAAACAGATGGCAGGGGCATGTAGCTGTAAGAGTTGTTGCCTTGGAGGCCTGCGGAGGGGTTTGGAGCGTTTGAGGGCGGGCAAACGGCAGTCTTGAACCCCCTGAAAAACAGATGGCAGGGGTATGTAGCTGTATAAGAGTTGTTGCCTTGGAGGCCTGCGGAAGGGTTTGGAGCGTTTGAGGCCGGGCAAACGGCAGTCTTGAACCCCGGAAAAACAGATGGCAGGGGCATGTAGCCCTTGAAAAACAGATGGCAGGGGCATGTAGCTGTAAGAGTTGTTGCCTTGGAGGCCTGCGGAGGGGTTTGGAGCGTTTGAGGCCGGGCAAACGGCAGTCTTGAACCCCGTGAAAAACAGATGGCAGGGGGTAAGAGTTGTTGCCTTGGAAGGCTGCGGAGGGGTTTGGAGCGTTTGAGGCCGGGCAAACGGCAGTCTTGAACCCCCTGAAAAACAGATGGCAGGGGCATGTAGCTGTAAGAGTTGTTGCTTTGGAGGCCTGCGGAGGGGTTTGTTGAACCCCGTGAAAAACAGATGGCAGGGGCACGTAGCTGTAAGAGTTGTTGCCTTGGAGGCCTGCGGAAGGGTTTGGAGCGTTTGAGGCCGGGCAAACGGCAGTCTTGAACCCCCTTAAAAACAGGTGGCAGGGGCATGTAGCTTTAAGAGTTGTTGCCTTGGACGCCTGCGGAGGGGTTTGGAGCGTTTGAAGCCGGGCAAACGGCAGTCTTGAACCCCTGAAAAGCAGATGGCAGGGGCATGTAGCTGTAAGAGTTGTTGCCTTGGAGGCCTGCGGAGGGGTTTGGAGCGTTTGAGGGCGGGCAAACGGCAGTCTTGAACCCCCCGAAAAACAGATGGCAGGGGCATGTAGCTGTAAGAGTTGTTGCCTTGGAGGCCTGCGGACAGGTTTGGAGCGTTTGAAGCCGGGCAAACGGCAATCTTGAACCCCTTGAAAAACAGATGGCAGGGGCATGTAGCTGGAAGAGTTGTTGCCTTGGAGGCCTGCGGAGGGGTTTGGAGCGTTTGAGGGCGGGCAAACGGCAGTCTTGAACCCCCTGAAAAACAGATGGCAGAGGCATGTAGCTGTAAGAGTTGTTGCCTTGGAGGCCTGCGGAAGGGTTTGGAGCGTTTGAGGCCGGGCAAACGGCAGTCTTGAACCCCCGGAAAAACAGATAGCAGGGGCATGTAGCCCTTGAAAAACAGATGGCAGAGGCATGTAGCCGTAAGAGTTGTTGCCTTGAAGGCCTGCGGAGGGGTTTGGAGCGTTTGAGGCCGGGCAAACGGCAGTCTTGAACCCCCCTGAAAAACAGATGGCAGGGGCATGTAGCTGTAAGAGTTGTTGCCTTGGAGGCCTGCGGAGGGGTTTGGAGCGTTGTTGCCTTGGAGGCCTGCCGAAGGTTTGGAGCGTTTGAGGCCGGGCAAACGGCAGTCTTGAACCGTGTAGCTGACAGAGTTGTTGCCTTGGAAAGGCGTGTGCCGTTGCTTGCGACCAGGGAGTCAAGTTCCACACCTCCGGTGGTCCCAGGCGCCGCCCCTGCCTTGGCAAAGGCCGGGGTCGGCGGATACTTTATGTACGTATCCTTCTGCGATATATATATATATATATCTAATAAACATCAATACTCACTAGTTAATGTCATCTCATGTTGAGGATGAGGAACAGACTTGAACAAATCAGAGTTGTTGGCCGCGAGGCACAGTTGGGGGATTGCATGGGCCTTAGTGCCTTGGTGCCTTGGTGCCAGATGCTGCTGGATGCTGCCTCCGTTCACCGGATTGCACCCAGGCCTTAGACAACGATGTGTGGGGCTCAGCCATGCGAGATCTACCGCGCACTTGAGCATCACCATTGATATCTTGATATCCATTGATATTTACAATTCATCATAATTCATACACAATAAATTCCATTAATCATTATGAGTCACATTAATTTGTCCATGAGTCACCATGAAATGTTCCTGCGTTCATGGAAAATTTAACATTGGGGTGTCATCCAGGTGCCGCATGGAACGCTTTCGGACCACGAGGCCTAAGAGTGTAAGATGTGTACGGCTTTCCGCCAGAAGCTGATAGTTTGGGACAGATTCCAAAGCGCTGACAATGCCAAAGCTTGACTCTGAAAGTTTCGGATGCTTTTTCTCTTTGGAGCACTTTCACAGTTTCATGCCTTGATCAGGGTCCGGGTATCTGGAGGCAGGAGTGTTTCACTTTCAGAGTATGGTTTGGAACAGGTTGGAACACGCTGGAACCATAGAAATTCCATGGTGGATCTTCAGTGTCAGGGCCAACCTGCTGAGTCACCGGAAGACGCTGCGAGTTTCGTCTCGGATTCGTCTACCGAAGATTTGCCAGAAAGCCCAACCGACTCAGTTTCCGGGGTCTCCGCCATCCGTTGCCCCTGCTTTTCATCGTTTCGGTTGGCCCAGCCTCGGCCCACCGTTCGGGGCATGGTAGCATGGCAGGCCACCTCACGCCCGGGTCGATCCTTTCGGTCGCTGGCTCAGCACCAGCTGTGATATTCACGGCTGCTGACAATGACAACTCTTCGCCTTTAAGCCTTTCCTATTTTTTAAAAATCTTAGTATGCAATACATATTCCTACAATTTCTTATACCATTTTCATGCGTTTTCATCCGACTTGATTCGTCTTCACAGGCCATCTTTGGACATCGAAGGCCAGCTTTGGAGGCAAGATCGATTTGTCACGTGGAGTGCTGTGCAGTCGAGACGTCTCTCGATGTCTCTCGACGAGGTGAGGAGGCACAGGAGCCACGAGTTTCGCGCCATGCGATGCTTCGAGCGCTGCTGTTCCTATGACTTCCGGCGCAGGTGCGGCCCCTGGAAGATCGAAATCAGAGGGCTTCAATTAGCTTTAGTTCCACATGTTCCACATTGACGTGATACAAGAGGAACTGAACTACGTTCAGGTTCCCTAAGGAATTTGCCCATTGTATCAAGTTTTTTTTGATGATTTTGTCAATTCTTTTAAGCTGCCCTCCAAGCAATATGTTTTTGTGAAATACTAAGATATTTGTGACGTTGTGTT